CAACTTCATTCTATTCTTCACTTATGATGCTGTTTATTGGTCCAGTGGTAAGGATTTTTACTTTTTGAATATTGAAGTAGAACCCATACTGTAGGCTGTGGTCTTTGATCTTCATCAGTAAATATTTTTAGTCCTCTTCAGTTTCAGCAAACAAGGCTATATCATCTGTATATCGCAGGTTGTTAATAGTCTTCCTATAGTCCTGATGCCATATTTTTCTTCATGTAATCAATCATCTCAGATTATTTGATCAGATTGAATAAGTATGGTGAAAGAATTCAACTCTGACACATACCATTCCTGATTTTAAACCATTCAGTATCCCCTTGTTCTGTTCGAGCAACTTCTTCTTGGTCTACTTACAGGTTCCTTATGAGTATTAAATGTTCGGGAATACTCATGCTTTGCAGTGTTATCCATAATTAATCATGACTCACACATTAGAAAGCCTTTGCATAGTCAATAGTGATAACATCTTTCTGATATTCTGTACTTTCAACCAAGATCCATCTGATACCAGCATCAATATCCCTTGTTCCACTTCCTTGTCTGAATCTAGCTTGAATTTATAGCAGTTCCCTGTTGATGTACCATTGCAGCTGTATTTTGAATGATCTTCAAAATTTTACTTGCCTGTGATTTTAGTGATACTGTTTGATGGTTTCTGCATTCGGTTTGATCACCACTCCTTGGAATGGCTACAGATATGGATCTCTTCCAATCAGTTGGGCAGATGACTATCTTCCAAATTTCTTGTCATAGATGATTGAGTGCCCCAGTGCTGCATTCAGTTTGTTGAAAGATTTCAACCTGTATCCCATCAATTCCCGGAGCATGTTCTTTGCTTCAGTGCACCTTGGACTTTTTCCTTCAGTATCATTCATTGGCTCTTGATCATTGCTACCTCTTGAAATGTTTCAACATCAAACATTTCTTTTTGGTACAATAACTCTGTGTATTCCCTCTATCTTCTTTTGATGTTTTCTACATCATTCAATATTTTACCCATAGAATCCTTCAGTAATTTTTTCTTCAGTTTTTTTAGCTTGAGAAATGCTGAGCTTGTTCTTCCCTTTTGATTTTCTAACTCCATGTCTTTGCATGTTTCATTATAATACTTGACTTTGTCTTCTTGAACTGCCCTTTGAAATTTTCTGTTCAGCTCTTTTACTTGCTTATTTCTTCCTTTCACTTTAGCACCTCTAAGCTGGAGAGCAAGTTAAAGAGTCTACTAATATCCATTTTATTTTATTTTTTCTTGTTTTCTTAATGACATTTTTATGATGTTCTTTTTTTTAACAACAACAACATGTGCTTTATTATATATATGGGCATACGGTCAAATCGATGCATACGCATCTGCATACACACACATATATATATATATATGCATACCTATGCACATACATGCCTACATACATATAAAGGTAAGTAAAAAATTATCTGCATTCTGGGTGTAGAATTGAATCAACTTTAAGAAAAGAAAAACATATATTTATTTTTACATAATCTCCTTCTTTTCAATACACTCTGTCCATCTATCAACAAGCTTTCATATTCCCTTATTTTAAAATGTTTTAAGCTGAGCTATGAGCCACAAATGCACCACTATCTTCACTTCTTCTCCAGAGGTGAATTTTTGTCCTCAAAGGGCTGCTTTCAGGGGACCAAACAGGTGAAAGTACCATGAAGCAAGATCAGGACTATAGGGAGGATGCTTTAACACCTCAAAACTAAGTTTTTGCAGAGTGTCAACAGTGTGGGCAGAGGTGTGAGGACAAGCACTGTCATGCAAAAGCCTAAAGCCCTTGGATAGCAGTTCTCTGCATTTAATCTGAAATTGAGACTTCAGCTCTTCAATGAGCATCTCACTGTAATGAGTACTGTTGATTGTTGAATGTTTTTCCTGATAATATTATAATACTGGTCCTTGAGAATCTCAGAAAACTGTAAGCATTAGTTTTCCAGTTGATGGTTGACTTTTTTTTGTTTTGTGTTAAGTTTTTATTGTGAATTGAGTGAAACTTTACAGGGCAGATCATCAGTTTTACATTCAACAAATCATATACCTTTTTTCATTACAATGATTATAATCTCCTCCATGTATCATCAGATAACAGTATTTCTCTCTATTCACTTTAGCTCTTTTTTTTTTTTTTAAACACTCAGGCATATATAATAGTTTACACTACCAAAGGACACAGTCTGCAAACCTGCCTCCTGGCCACCAGCTCTCAGCCCCTCTCTTCCCATGAATCTAGAGTCCTTAGATGTTCCCTCTCTCCATGTCCCCATCTCTTCCTCCATGTGTGGTGTCGCTGCTTCTCTGGATAAGGGCTCACATTCCACTTGTGCTCTTCTCCCTTGATGGTCCTCGGGTCCTTTGTTTCTGGACTGTATGATTAACTGTTCACCCATTTTCATACAAAACTTCTAAACTTCTATCTTTACAATTGTGACAGTCACAGTTAGTCACGATAACTATTACTATCGAATCATAAGACTCTTATCCCCATCTCTTTTAACCAGACCCATCTAGACGAGATGAAAACTATTCAGTGGGGACTCTTTCTTCCCCCCCACACTCTTAAACTAACCTCCCTCTTGAAACTTGTAAGCCTTTGTGCCTTTATCACCCCCTCATTTTAGGTAGCCACTGTCTAAGTGGCTTGTCCCTATCTATCCTGTGTACAGAAGGGATAGCACCGATACTTGGTATGAAGACTCCTTCACTCTCTGTTGGTATTTAGAGTTAATACCTCTATAAGTGTAAGTCAAGTTTATCAAATTGTAGTAACTTATCCTCATTTCCTTTATCAGAAATTGTTTTTTTATCTTTCTCTAGTCAAGTTCAGATTATCACACCATCAAGGCTAGGTCAAATGGATACCGTCTGCAAGTTTGGGTGTTCTTTTGCAGCTCCCCTCACTTCAATCAGCTGGATGCTTCACTCTCAACTCTAGCCCCTCTGTGGCTATATCCTTGTCCATGGGCTCAGGTGTCCCCAGGTCTCAACACACTTTGGACCAACCAGCCCTTCCTCTTCTCTCTCTCATCTCCAGATCAATGGGGGTCTACAGAACGTAGTTGAACTCAGCCCATTTCTTCATTGCTGCCTTTTCCCCTCTTCCACTCACCAGTAGACCAATGTGGTCGCCAGCAAGCTTACATGCCTGTTTGTGTGTTCCCTTTGAGCTTCAGTCTTAGAGGGGGTTTATGATATTCTTGATGTCATCCCTCAACTCTTTAGGTCTTTGGTCATCAGTGTCTAGTGCTGTTCTTGAGATGGTCTCTAAATTCAAGTGGGATACATTCAACGTCACATTTTGGCTCTCAGAGACTTGTTTTCATTTTCTTCAGCTTCAGCTTGAGCTTACATATGAGCAATTGGTCTGTTCCACATTCTACAGTTGGCCTTTTGGCTAATAGCATTGAGCTTTTCCACCTTATCTTCTCACAGAGATAGTCAGTTTGATTTCTGTGTATCCCATCTGGTGATATCCATATATCTAGTCATCTTTTATGTTGTTTAAAAAGGTATTTTCAATGAAGACGTCATTAGTCTTGAAAATTCTATCATGCAATCTCAGCATGAATTCTGTTACCATGACTTTATTTTCCAATTACTTGTCCTTCCTCTTTGTTTTCAACCTTTGCACTCCAGTCACCAGTATTTATCAGTACAACTTGATTATATATTTGATCAATTTTGCACCGAAGAAGTTGGTAGAATTTTTCAATTTCATCTTCACTGACTTTAGTGGTTGTTGCATACATTTGAATAATAGTGGTATTATAGGTCTTCCTTGTGACTTTGGTGTGGAGCTGTGGGTTAATGCACTGGACCATAAGGTCCTCCTTGTAGGTGTATGGATATTATCCTATCACAGAGAGCATTGTACTTCAAGATGCTCTTTTAGATGATGAATGTAATGCCATTCCTTTTTAGTTTGTTGTTCCTGGCAAAGTAAGCTATATCATTGTCAGATTCAAAATAGCCAATACCACTCCATTTCAGTTCACTAATGCCTAGTCCTGGTGTGGCTCTGTGGGATGATGCACTGGACCACAAGATCAGATTGAACTGCAGGGTCGGCGGTTCACACTCACCAGCCGCTCCTCAGAAACCTTATGCAGAGTTGCTGTGAGTCAGAATCCACTCAATAGCACTTAACAGTGACAATGCCTAGGATATTGGTCTTTATGCATTCCATTTCATTTTTTAACATGTTCAGTTTTCCTAGATTCAGACTCTGTACATTCCATGTTCCAGCTATTAGTGGATATTTACAACTGTTTCCCCTCATTTTGAGTTGTGCCCTATCAGCAAAGGAAGGTCCTCAAAGTGTACTCCATTCATGTCATCACAGTCAACTCTACTTTGAGGAGGCAGCTCTTGCCCAGTCGTTTTTTTAGTACCTGCCAACCTGAGGTGCTCATCTTCCAGCACAAAATCAGGCAATGTTCTGCTGCTATTCATAAGGCTCTCAGTGGCTAGACGTTCAGAACTAGTCTACCTCTCCATCTTCCTAGTCTGTCTTAGTCTGGAAGCTCAATTAAAACTTGTCTACCATGTGTGACCCTGCTGGTGTTTAAAATACTGGTGCCATAGTTTCTAGCATCACAGCAACACACAAGGCACCACAGTAGGACAAACTGACAGATGGGTGGTAGGTGGAAATATTAAGACTGCATATCATGAAATATCCAAAGACAGTTTCTTTGAAACGTTGATCAGCTTGTATAGTCATTTTGAAAATCTCTTTAATCTTTGCAAGCTGCCTGAATTTTTTTCTCTTTTATTCTTAAATGATTGGAGTGACGTAGTTCCACATTGCTTGAAGGTTACATTTAGAGTAATTGGTCTAGGTACATGTACACTTGAAATTAAATGCAGCAGAAATAAGTTTTGTCGTTGCTTTACACCTTGTCTTTTAACTTCAAATCCTCTGTTCCTCTGAATGAAAAATTCTAAATTTGTTTCTCTTTCTGTTAAACAGGCTGCTTCCTTGGGATTACTACAGTTTCCTATCCTTAATGCTTCTGTGGATGAAGCTTGCCAGAACATAACATATAAGGTTTGTTATACATTATGAAAATGTTCCCGATAAATATAGAACATGGTATAAATGTGCCTGTAGATTAGAGATGTTTCCATTGTATCTCAAATAGTGATCTTTTTTAGATTACAATTAAAGGTCTGGTATAAAATGATAGTGAAACCTGTGAGAGCTGGAACTCAATGGGAAAGCCTTATTTTTCCAGGTTTTGCAAGTTTCCCTCCTTTGATAGGGTATATAGTCTTACAACTAGTGGAAAGTATTTGAGTTTTCCTTTTATGGCAGGTTTCTGCCTTATACAGATTCTGGGTTTTTCAGGTTTTACTGTATTATATTTAAGTATGTTCATGTTGTTAAGTGTAGTCAAATTGATTCCAACCCATAGCAACCCTGTATACAGTTTCCAAGGAGTGGCTGGTGAGTTTAAACTGCTGACTTTGCAGTTCAAATCAACCTTTCAATCCAGTACTTATCCTTCAGCACCACACCAGGAATCCTAATTTAAGTATAATTTATTGTGTGTACTACTCAGTAATAATACTGTTCACATTTCCATTTTTAAGCCCTTTTGGTTTTCTGCTAAAGATAATGGAAATATACTTCTGTGAGGCAATGGGTTATGTTACGTATCCTACATACCTTCCCCCCAAAAAGATGAAGCTCTTTCTCAAAACACTCTCTCCTGGAATTTTTAAAACAAGATAATTTATAATAGAAAAGTGGTGAGCATTTGAATTCAGTTTGAGTGAACTCTCCTGTTTGGAGTAAAAATTTTTACGACTGATAACTTTTGGGGTGCTGTTGATACTTATTTATATCTCATTAGCTATATATGTATAACCAGAAAGCTTATTACTGTCAGTAAATTGTTATCTTTCTCAAAAAAAAAAAAAAAATTTAAAGCTTGTTTAAAACTTTTTTTAAAAATCTTTGTCAATCTGTTGAAAATGAATTTTGATAGTTGTTTTGACCCATTCTTTCCTGTAGCTTATTTATTATAAGGGCTTCTAATTTTACTCTGTAGGCTTCTCATAATATTGGAATAGCAATGGATACTGAGCAGGGGTTGATCGTCCCAAATGTGAAAAACATACAGATCCGCTCCATATTTGAGATCGCCACTGAATTGAACCGCCTCCAAGAATTGGGCTCTGCAGGTCAGCTTGGAACTGCTGATATTACTGGAGGGACATTCACTCTTTCTAACATTGGCTCTGTGAGTAATACTGATGTTCATATTTATAAATCATAGCTTAAGATTTCTGATCGTTTATTTATTTAAAAACATAAAATGCCATTTGCCATTTGTCCCCACCAAAGTATCATTTTTTAACTGTATTATTTGTTTTAGATTGGTGGTACTTATGCCAAACCTGTGATAATGCCCCCTGAAGTAGCAATTGGGGCTCTTGGATCAATTAAGGTATGTTTATTAAATAATTGAAAAATAGTCTTCTAGGCCAATTGGGGAGAGATAAACACAAACACAAAGGAGAGTAACTATTTCTGAGGTTTCTTCCTCACTCTGTGGGTTTGAGTGTGTAAAGTTTGACTCAGTAAGCCTATATTTCTTCCTACGAGCTAGGCCTGCAATTCCAGTGACTGACTTGGCATATGACAAATGGTGATGATCTGAATTGTTTCTGTGTAGATCAACCATTGTGGGTCATGCTAGGTACACGTTGTGTTTAAGGATAAGCACAGATACAAGGGGGCTTCTAAAAGTTTGTGGAAAATTACAGTATCTTTTCATTCCATTTTCCAAGAACGGTGTAAAGCCCCCTTGTGGAGTTATTTTGCTTCTGTCAAAATAACTTGATTTTCTTTTATTTTATTACTTATCTTTTATAGTAATCCCTTCCAAAATGTTATTTGTAAGAAAATGGAACACTGCTTTGAATATTTTTCTCAAACTTCACCTTGTTCAAAATCATTGGAAGTGCTAGTTAAAAACACAGATTTCTTGAACTTGAAAAAGAGCCCCAAGACCTTAGGTCTTAAGCAAGAACCTAGACAGTTCCAACACAGGTGAATCTGGGATCGTAATTAGGGTTGCTATGATTCTTAACTCAGGCTGCACATTAGAATGCCCTGGGAGAGCTTTCACAAACTATGCTCAAGCTGTCCCAATACCAGCTGAATCAGAATTTAGGGGGATTGGATCCTGGGCATCTCTATTAACTCAATTGAGAATCACTGAGTTAAAAAAAGAAAAAAGCTCCGGCTTTATATTACGTTGATACCACCTTTATTGAATGCCATTTGGTTTTAATTACTACATTAACCTTGGTTTGGCTCTTCATGCTTTAAGGCAGTGGTAGGAAACATCAGTCCATGGACCAGGAAAGGTCTGTGAATTCATTTGATCTGGCCCTGCTAAGGCAGCCACAGTTCCAGTTATCACACTGGTGGTGGTTATGTGCCGTGGAGTCGGTTCCCACTCATAGCGACCCTTTATAGGTTTTCTGAGGATGTAAATCTTTACGGGAGCAGAAAGCCTCATCTTTCTCCCACAGAATGGCTGGTAGTTTCAAACTGCTGAGCATGACGTTAATACACCGACTCATAACTACTATGCTACCAGATCTCCTTAGCCATCACATTAGGAATGAGGTAATTAAATGTTTGACCAAATAAAGTTTAAGTTTATAATTTTGTATGGCCTGCAAATAATGTTATAAATATCTAAATGGCCCTTAGCAACAAAAGGTTCTCCACCTCTGCTTTAAGGAGAACCTTTCTTCATATTTAGTGCTTCCACATTGCATATCTCTGACTTATCTTTCACGAATCTACTTTTAGGTTGATACCCTAAACACTCACAAACATTCATTCCCTTTCTAGCAGACAGCTCCTTAGCTGCTAAGTTACCTCCTCTTCCTAGTATCCACTTTCCTGTCCATCAAACTGAGGAGATGGGAGGGGAAAAGCACACAAGGTTACAGCACTTATGATCACAGGATGAAACCGTTCTTTCCAAATTCAGTTTCTCTCAATGGTAACTTTTCTATCACCCATTCTCCTCATGACAAAAACTCAGTATTTGATTCTCACAAAATTCTTAGGTGGTCTGGTAGTGTAGTGGTTACGAATTGAGCTGCTAACCTCAGAGTCAGCAGTTCGAAACCACCAGCTGTTCTGCAGGAGAAATATGAGGCTGTCTGAGCCTGCAAAGATTTACAGCCTCCAAAACCCTGTACAGGGTTGCTATGAGTCGGAACCGACTCCATTGCATATAACCACCACCACGTTTCCAAATCACCACAACTATTTGACAAAGTTTCTTTATTTTTTCCCTAAAGAGAGTTTTTGGAAAATTCTTTAGAGATGTTTTTACAGAGTTATCATTCCCATGATATCTTCAACCTCTGAGGCTTAGCTTTTGGTGTGTATATGTACACAGTGACCTAATTTGTTGGGTAAGAACAAATATTATTTCATTTCTGTCTCCTTTTATGTCATTTCTCCTTTGCTGTTTTCTGTTTTCACTGTACATTTTTAAACTTCTTGTTGTGCAATTATTCTTGAGTACCTTCAACCAAATGAAACCTAGTGTGCTCAAGTCAGTTCTAACTCATGGTGAGCCCATGTGTTTCAGTGCACACTACTCCTTAAGTTTTGCTTGACTGTAATCCTTGTGGAGGAAGACGGATGGCCCTTTCTATTCGGCACTGCTGAGTGGTTCATTCCGCCAACCTTTGGGTCAGTAGTGGAGCACTGACCATTTGTACCACCCAGGGACCTCTGAGTAACCTCTGTGTTACTCAGCTTAGAGCCTGTCTTCCTTGACCCACTAGCAGCACTTGAGACAATCACTCATACCTCCTTGGAACACTTGCTTCGTTTTGGCTTGCAGAATACCATACTATCCTGGTTTTCTTCCTGTCTCACTGCCAATCTCCCTGAGTAACACACCTCTGCATAGTCCCAATCTCAAAACATTGCCCCAAGGCTTAGTCCTGACCTTTTTCTTTATCTATACTCAATGCCTCGGTGATCTGATCCATTTATATACTAATGCCTACCTACTCTTTGAACTATAAACACATATATTCTGATTGAATGTCTAATGTGGTAGTGGTGGTGGTTTTGTGCCGTGGAATCAGTACCAACTCATAGCGAACCTGTATAAGGTTTCCAAGGCTGTAAATCTTTACTGGAGCAGAAAGTATCATCTTTCTCCCACAGAGCAGCTGGGAGATTCAAATTGCTCACCTTGTGTTTAGCAGCCCAACTTATAACCCACTACACTACCAGAGTTCTTTGCTTGAATGTCTAAAAATCATTGTGAATTTTGACATGTCCAAAACTGAACCCTTGCTTCACCATCTCCTACCCTTAAACTTGCTCATCCCCTGTTAGTGAATGGTCATTCTAGTAAGAAACCTCCAGTTAACTTCCCATATCACAGAATAAAAGACAAAATTCCCCATTGGCCTGCACTAGTGCTGCTCAGAGTGTGATCAGGACCTATGTTGGCCCATGGTTGCTATGTATGGGAGTGAAGAGATAAGTACAGAAAGAGAGACGAGGGCTGCAAATTTTCACAGGATTATTTTATATTAGTTAAATCTAATAATGAAAATTGGGATTTGAATTTTGTATGTCTTCTTCTATTGCAGTTTTCTAGTAACTCGTTTTTAATGTATTTTATTTAAAACAAAACAAAAAAGCCTGCAAGAAGACATGACTAAAAGAAGACCAATACCCCTCATAAACATGGATGAAAAAAGTCTCAGCAAAATCCAAGCCAAAATATCAAAAAAATAATACTTCATGACCAAGTGGGATTATACCGGGTATACAAAGATGGCTCAATATTAGAAAAACAATCAACATAATCTACCACATAAATAAAAAGAAAAGAAGTGCGTGATCATAACAGTTGATTCAGAAAAGGCATTTGGCAACATCCATTCCTGATAAAAACATTCATCAAGATAGGAATAGAAGGGAAATTCCTCAACCTAAGTCAAAGCATATATTCAAATCCAACAGCCATTACTCTCAATGGAGAGAAACTGAAAGTATTCCACTTGTGAACAAGAACTTAGCAGAGGTGTCCTTTATCACCACTCTTGTTCAATATTACATTGGAAGTCTTAGCCAGAGATAAGGCAAGATAGGAAAATTAAAGGCATCCAAATTGGCAAAGAAGAAGTATAACTCTCTATATTTGCAGATGATATGATTTTATACATAGAAAAGCCCAAAGACTCAATAAGAAAATTATTGGAACTCATTGAAAGGCAGCAAAGTGGCAGGGTACAAGATCAATATACAAAAATCAGTCCTCTACTAATAAAGCTCTGAAAAGGAAGTTAAGAAAACAATACCATTTACAATAGCCACCAAAAAGATGAAATACTTAGGACTAAATCTAGCCAGAGAAACAAAAGAGAATTACAAAACACTACTCCAAGAAACAAAAAGAGATGTACAGAAATGTAAGAATATACCATACTCATGGATAGGAAAATGTAACATTGTGAAAATGCCAACACTACCCAAAGCAATCTATAGATGTAATGTAATCCCAATCCAGATTCCAACAACATTGTTTAAAGAGATGGAAAAATGATCACAATGTTTATATGGAAAGGAAAGAAACCTCAGATAAGTAAAGCATTGCTTAAGAAGAACAAAACTGGATACCTCTCACTTCCTGATCTCAAAATCTACTGTATAGCCACAGTGGTCAAAACAGTGGCACTGGTACAAAGAATGATACATAGAGCCATGGAATAGAATTGAGGACCCAGAAGTAAACCCATCCACATACAGCTGATTTTTTTTCTTTCTTTTCTTTTTTTTTTTTCTTAAATGTTTTATTGTGAATTATGTGATAGTTTACATGGGAGAACATTAGTTTTACATTACTCTATCGTATATTGTCTCATTGCCATGGTTACAATCCCCTCCATGCAATCCTCCCCCGTACCCCCCAGGTCTTCAGCACACAGTCGCTCTTCCTCTCTGGATCTAAAGTCTCCAGCTGCTCCATCACTCCACATCATCATCTCTGCCTCCATTTCAGGCATCACTGCTTCTCTGGGTAGGGTCCCACTCTCTGCTCTTCTCCCTTGATGGTCCTAGGAACCTCCGCTCCTAGACTGAAAAGTTAATCACTCCCCTCCTTGCTATAAAACGTCTACCTTTACATTTCCAACCCTCACAATCAGTCCTGATAATAATTATTCACTATTGTATCACAAGAGACCCGTCTGCATTTCATTGCATCAGCCCTGCCTAGTCAGATTGAATACTACTCACTGGAGATTCTACCTTCCTCCAGGCCCTCTGGATCTAGGTTCCCTCTTGAAAGCTTACAGCTGATTTTTGACATAGGGCCAAAATACATTAAATGGGGATGAGATAGTTTCTTCAATAGATGTTGCTGGGAAAACGGGAAATCCATTTGCAGAAGAATGTAATAGACCCATATCTCACACCATATAAAAAAAACAAACTCAACGTGGATTAAAGACTATAGAATATGTTGAACTGTGAAGATCACCAAAGAAAAGATGGGAACAAAATTTAGGAACTCTAATACATGGCCGAATACAATGTCAAACATAACTGAAAACATACAAACAGTACAAGACAAAATAGATGCCTGGGACTACCTAAAAAATCAGATACTTACATGCACCAAAAGAGTAAAAATACAGCCCACAGACTGGGAACTTTTTTTTGCAATGATATAACAGACAAGGGACTAATTTATAGGAAACTACAATACTTGTACAAGAAAAAGACAACCCAACTGAAAAACGGGCAGAGGACATGAACAGACATTCAGACAGACGACAAACATGAGGAAATGTTCATGATCATTAGTCGTTGTTGTTATTAAGTGTCATCAAGTCGGTTCCGACCCATAGCGACCCTGGGTAGGGTTTCCAAGGAGCAGCTGGTGAGCTTGAACTGCCAACCTTATAGTTCAAATGGCTTTGCAGTCTGGCGCATTAACCCACAGCGCCACACCAGGACGCCATTAGTCATTAGAGAGATGCAAATCAAAACAATGATGAGATATCATCTCACCCCAGCAGTAATAGCAAAGATATGAAAAACACAAAACAGCAAATGTTGGAGAGAGTCTGGAGAGACTGGGACCCTCCTACATTGCTGGTGGGTATATAAAATGATACAACCAATATGGAAAACTTGCTCAAAAAGTTGGAAGTAGAAATACCATGGTGGTGGTGGTTATGTGCCATGGAGTTGGTTCCGACTCATAGTGACCCTGTACATCTTTATTGGAGCATAAAGCCTTATCTTTCTCCTGTGGAACAGCTGGTAGTTTCAAACTGCTCACACTGAGATTAGCAGCCCTATTCATAACCACTACGCTACCAGAGCTCCCTAGAATCTCTCTATTTAGTATATATCCACAAGAAATAAGAGCCAGGACACTAGTAGATAATATGCATGCCCATGTTTGTCACAGCACTATTCATAATAGCAGAAAGATGAAGACAGCCTTAATACCTACCAATGGAAGAATGGATAAACAAAATCTTTGGTACATACACAATGGAATACTATGCAATGGTGACGAATAAAGATAAATCTACAAATCACCTCAGAACATGGATGAACCTAGAGCACATTATTCTGAGTGTAAGTAGTCACAAAAGGACAGACAGTATATGAGACCACTATTGTAAGAACCCAAGAAAAAGTTTTCATGTTAAGAGAAACATTCTTTGATGGTTACCAGGTATGGGAGGGAGAGGAAAATAGACACTGGCTAGAGGGGAGACTCATATTAACTAGGATGTTGGGGAGGCCAGTGTGCAAGAGACGGAGGTTGGCAGAAGAATGATGAAGGTAGATGAAGACACAGGGAGATATGCAAGGGTTAAATGAGATAGAGGTAAGTAGTGTTCCATATACAACCTGAAACAGCAGTGTTCTGTGGGCAGATTCATGGACAGATTCACAGGCTGAATGGCTAGTGGGAGCATACTCACAATTACATAAGGGATTGAAAGAGAAAAAAGTAGTCTGCAGTGAATTAAACTTTTTTTAAAATTGTTTACCAAAGACAGTTTGCAAAGCACTGTCCTTAATGATGTGTCCAACATCACTCTTCTGTGACCTCGCTCATCTCCCTTCCCACCAACTCCTGCCCCCCTACTGCAGGCACCAGGAGCTCTTCTCCTCAGTCTCTTCCTCCAGGTGAAGCTTTCCCCTCACAGTTTGTCCAAAAATGCTACCTATCTCCTGCCTCTACCTCTTGCCGATATCCTCTGTCCCTTTTCCAAGCTGCTGTTTTGTTTTTCTGTGCACTTTTTTTCACTGTTTAACACATTATATAGTTTTGTTTATTTGCCTTGTCTCTCCCCATGAAAATATTAACTATAAGAAGGCAAAGACCTTTGTTTTGTCTAGCCACAGAGCCTAGAAGATCCGACTAGGTGTTTTATAAATATTTGTTAAGTAATTGAAGTCCAAGATAAAATTAAATGTATGCCTGGAAATTTTATATGTGACAGGAAATAACTTGGAGAAATCCTGCAAAATTGAGGCATGTACACACAGATGGAAGAAGTATGAGCATTTCCAGAAGGCATCTAGGATACTCATTTACTTCCTATTGCTGGGAAGGGGTCTGTCTGCTTTTATGCCACTACTACTGCTAGAACTTGAGTTTTGAACACATGAAGGTTTACTCTTTGCTCTTTTCCTTATTTCTAGGCTCTTCCTCGATTTAACCAGAAAGGGGACGTATATAAGGCCCAGATAATGAACGTGAGCTGGTCAGCCGATCACAGAGTTATTGATGGTGCTACAATGTCCCGCTTCTCTAATTTGTGGAAATCTTATTTAGAAAACCCAGCTTTTATGCTACTAGATCTGAAATGAAGATGGATAAGATATCCTGGAACTTTTTACACTTCCAAAGAACACGAGTATGTAAAGCCTCGCTGTACCAGCACATGTTCTTCATTGTAATCTGTATTATAAAATGATTTGTATGACATGATTAAGGTTCTAAGGCACAATATTTATCACTGTTCTGTTAGACTTTTTACTGAAAATGAATAATGGTGTGATAGTTCTCCTAGAACTGTTCTGTCACAATTTATAGGTCATAGTGTGACTTAGTATGTTGCTGAGATCTTTGTGTCAACGAATTGAAACTGGCAAGGCCATCATATTAATGTTACGAGAAAACAGCTTTACACAGTATTTGTCCTATCTTTTTTTTTTTTCCTTTTTTAACAGACTCTTAGTGAAACTTTTCATTTAACTACTCTTAGTTGGAAAAATGAATTTATATATAAAAATGTTTTCCATTATCCCATAATAATGCAAATTATTATATGAAATAAGTGCAATTATCCTTACCTTTTAAGATATACAGGAGTATATTCTTTCTCTATGGCAATTATCATCTGTAAATGTCTTATTTTTATAAAAACATCTTTTCAAAGGAAGAACTAATAAGTTGATCATTAAACTCCTCAATTATGTTTTATAATCAGTAAGATTATTAACGATATTTGTTTAAAATGGCTAAACTTTTAGAATTTTGGTGGTATTTTGGTGTTTCGCTGGAAAAACTTCTCTTTCACAAATTTGCTTTGTGTAAGGACAGTACTTAAAATGTACCAGCCTCTGTCATTTATTACATCACAAATCTACTGCCTTTTAACGTTATTAGCCTTAAACTAAAATATAGAATGATGTTATTGTTAAGCACTGTCTAGTCGGTTCTGACTCATAGCAATCCTATTTATAACGTTGTGAGGAGCAGCTAGTGAGTTTGAACTGCCAACCTTGTGGTTCAAACTGGCCTTGCGGTCCAGTGCTTATCCCATTCTATCCTCTGTCTCCTGAGTGGGAATGAGAATAATAGGAGAGAGAAGGATTTAATGAATATTATGGACAAAAAAATAAAATCATAAGTGTGATACAGTAATAAAGGCATCAAAATGATCATTCTGTTAGAGGCCCACTATTAGAAGTAATTTCAAAATGAATAGTCTAACATTTTCATTTGCATTAAGAAATCCAAGTTATTTTTAATACTGTGCAAATGAATATTACTTGCCAAATTTAGTTGTTCAAGTGAATTATTTGACAGTAAAAAAGTCATTTTGATGTTCCCTTGATTTATTTTTCAAAATAGAAATAATTGTTAAATCACAAAATAATAAACATCAAGTTACAAAGAAAATAAAATCTTTCATAATTCTACCACTAGTAAGATTTTAATCATGTAACTGTATACATAGGTATATTCCTTTTATAACAGTGATTCATAGTATAATTAATCAATTTTCTAATTTGATTTTTTTTTTATTTAACAATATATTATGACTAGCTTTACATGTCAATAAACAATTATGTTATAATTTTAAATGGCTGTGTAGGATTTCATTGTATGTAATTAATCAGTACTCAATATTTATTGAAGACCTACTGTATACCATGTATACCAGGCACAGTCACTGCCTTCATTGGACCTGTAACCTAGAAGAAGAGAGAGCTATTAAATAATCGTAAAGATAAAAATGAAATTACACACCTAGGTAGAAAAAAACAGCAGTGTGCTAGGAGAACATGTAGTAGGGGCTACTGATCCTGTCTAGGAGGATCAGCAGTTAGATGTTTCATAATTTAGCCAGTTCTCTACTGATAGGCACATGCTGAGTCTTAAAGGAGGAACTTGACACTCACTTAAAGAATGTGAAAACTTAAGTGTCGGGGAGTCCTGAAATAATTAAATACATGTCGCTGTTGAAAAGAAGGTTTAGCATCTTTGGCTCAAGATGTTTTCTACATTCCCCAAATAGCTCTTGAGCTGTCTATTCTATCCCAACCCTTTGCTATTGCCATCTTCTCATCCACTGAGAATTCCACAAAAGATTTGCTCCCTGCTATTGGCAGGACTTTTCGTGGAGGAGACCAGAGGGTCAGGACCACAGCCCTAGCAGCAGGGCTGATCCAAAGCTGGGGGAACAAGGCTTTTGCTGTATTCCTAAAGGTTAACGTTAAATGGGAGAATCCAAAATGACTGCTGGAAATGGTCAACAAGAAAATCAAGATTCCATTCATTGTGTAGGACTTCCATTGGACATTTCAAAAGGAGGCACAACAGGAAAAACCGTTAGAAGGACTGGAACCTGAACTAGTATTAATTTTCATTTTGGAAACCAAAATTACCTTGTGTTGCAACATTCCATGAAGTGGTTAGTAAGAAGAAATGAGTGACAATTTCGTTGCACAGAAAGCCCACTGGTCTGTTTGGGCATTCCTCCTGGCTTTCCACTCAAAGTGAATCCCAAAGATTCCTTAATAAATTTCCTTGCTGACTATAATTTGATAAAGAGTTGTTGAAAACCCCCCTCTAAGACTGAAATTTAAAAGGAACACACAAGCAGGCATGTAAGCTTGCTGGCAACCACATTGGTCTACTGGTGAGTGGAAGAGAGGGAAAGGCAACAATGAAGAAATGAGCTGAGTTTAACCATGTTCCATAGACTCCCGCTGACCTGGAAATGAGAGAGAGAAGAGGAGGGACTGGTTGGTCCAAAAGGTGGTGAGACCTGGGAACACCTGAACCCATGGACAAGGACATAGCCACAGAGGGCTAGAGCTGAGAGTGCATCCACCTGATATGAAGTGAGGGGAGACACACAAGAATAACCAAACTTGCAGATAGTACCCATTTGACCTAGCCTCAATGGCTTGATAATCAACTCCACTAGAAGAAGATAAAAACAAGACAAAACAATTTTTGATAAAGGAAATGAGTGTAAATTGCTACAATTTGATGAACTTGACCTATACTCATGGAGATAGTAATACCAACAGGGAGGGACAGAGTCTCCACATCAAGTATCAATGCTATCCCCTTTGTATACAGGGTGGATAGGGACAGTGGCTATCTAAAATGAAGGGGTGATAAAGACTCGAAGTGACTGGCTTACAAGTTTTCAAGAGGGAGTTTAGTTTGAGAGTGTGTGTGGGGGAGATAGAGTCCCCACTGAAGAGTTTTTATCTTGTCTAGATGGGTCTGGTAAAAAGAGATGGGGATAAGATTCTTACGATTCAATACTGAGTAATTGGTATCATGACTAATTGTGAGTGTCACAATTGTAAACGTAGAAGTTTTGTAACAAAAACAGGGGAGTAGTTCAGAAACAGGACCCTAGGACCATCAAGGTAGAAGAGCACAAGCAGAATGCGGAATCTTATCCAGAGAAGCAACGACACCAGAAATGGAGGCAGAAATTGGAACATGGAGAAAGGGAGCAGCTGAGGACTCTAGATTCATGGAAAGAGAGAGACTGAGAGCTGGCAGCCAGGAGGCAGGCTCACAGAATTTGTCCTTTGGTTGTTTAAATTATTGTGGGTGCCTGTGTGTTTGTTTGTTTGTTTGTTTTAAAAAGAGCTAAAATGAATAGAGAGAAATGCTACTAACTGATGTTACATGGAGGGGATTATAACCATTGTAGTGAAGCAAAATGTACGCTTTGTTGAATGTAAACTGATGATCTGTCCTGTAAACTTTCTCTCAATTCACAATAAAAAAAAAAAAGGTTGTTGGAGTTCAAAACTGCCCTAGAATACCAGGAGCCATTGAGGACTTCAAGGAATATAAACCTTTCTTTGAAGTCCTCAAATGCTTTTTTTTTCCCACTGAAACAATTTTTTTTATTGTGAATTGGGTGAAGGTTTTACAAAGTAGATCAGTTTTTCATTCAACAATTTATATACATTTTGTTAATGACATTGACTGCAATCCCCACAATGTAACATCACTTATCTCTCTTCCTCCCTATGTTTCATGTTTTCATACTTCCATCTTTTCCTAATACCTTCTGAACTTTGTCCTTGAGTAGATCCTTCCCTTTTGGTTTCAAATGGTTGATATTCTAAGCTGTGGGTATTTCACTAGTGTTATTGTTCCCTGGGGTGGCACTGTGGGCTAATGTGTCAGACCGCAAAGTCATTTTAACTACAAGGTCGGTGGTTCAAGCTCACCAGATGCTCTTTGGAAACCCTATGCAGGGTCGCTATGGGTCGGAACGACTCAACGTCACTTAACAACAGCATTGTTCCCCTTATAGGCCTGTCTATTGTTTGGCTGGAAACTGAGCCAGATGTGAGTTCATTTCCAGACCTGAGGATGAGGATGACTAAGGCCACAGTCTAGGAGTGTTCTCAAAGATTTTTGTAACATTTTCCCTGCAATTGGTGGATTTTTCTGAAAATATTTATTGGAAGCTTATTCAGTTCAGGCACTGGGAGAGATATTGTGGATAAATGGTGAATAACATAGATGAAGGGTCTGCTCTCAAAGTGAGTGCTTTGTCCAATGATTAATGCCGGCACTAGAACCTGGAAACGAGTATTTCTTTTATAGCTGAATTATATTTCTAGTCCTTAGTGGTGATTTTGCTCCTTCCCTAGATTATGTTTCCTTTTACTGAGGTTGGATCATTGTGTCTTTCCTGGGCTCTTTGCATAACTCCTGTCTCATAAACCATACCTAATATTAGTATAGAATCCACGTTAGACCACAGAAGTTCAGGTCATTCAAGTCCTTTATTTTTCATGGACAAGTAACATAGGTGACACCTTGTGACCCCAAGCCATTTTGAGAGCAATGTGGATGGACTGTGGCTCACTGGTGGCACAATGGTGGCTGCTCACTGAAAGGTCGAGTCCAACAACTGCTCCACAGAAGTGATGGGACAATCTGCTTCTGTCAAGATTATAGCCTTATAAACCCCATGAGGCCATTCTGTTCAGTCCTATCAGGTAGCTATGATTTAGAATTGACTTGATGGCAGTGGGGTTGGGTGGAAGGAATGCATTATATTATAAGAACTCAAATAAAAAGAGCCTCTTATTAAATTACTGCCACTCAATCACCTAGCTAGTATACTCTTCACATAGTAGTAGTGAAAGGGGAATTAACATTTGTTATTGTTAAGAGCTATTGTCAAGTTGGTTCCAACCCATAGCGACCCTGTAGAGGGTTTACAAGGAGTAACTGGTGGGTTTGAACCACTTACCTTGTGATTCAAACTGACCTTGCAGTCCAGTGCATCACTAATGTTTAACTCTTATTCTCAGCAAACCTATGAGGTAGTTGCTATGATTATTCCTATTTTAAAGACAAACTGGGGCACA